TAATAGTAAAATATCTATTATACCCTTCATTATTCTTTTAAAATTTCAAATACATATATACAACACTTTTTTCTAACCGCTAGACCATAGGTTTGAACTTGTGCCGCATGTGACACCACATTCTTTTCATCTAATATGGTCTCCTTTATAAGTTATTCAAATTAAATTGGTAGAGTTCGAGTAAAACCGGAAGGTATTATTAAGCTTGTTGAATTTGTAATTTTTAGTTTCAGATATGTATTTGGCACTTAATGTTGTATATAGGTGTCGCCACTCTCTCCTAATTAATGGACTGATGAGGGCCACTAACATCATGAATGACAACAACGCTATAGGTGTTTGTGGGAACATGCAAACCTGCTCACTACACATGTATTTAAGGAAGGAGGAGTCAACAAAGCCTCTGTACTTTTGCCTAGCAAACATGAAGCAATCAAACTCGAACTCCATACTTTCTACTTGAACTATAAAGAACATTACACCCCATTCTCTTGACACGTTAATTTGTAACTTCATTTGGGACAAGAAGGTTCATAAGAAGAAGATCAACTACATATGTCCCCCGGGTTTGCCTCCAAGAGAATCTCCCCTTTGGCTCTTGCAATCTCCCAAAATAAAATTCACCAAATGAGAGAGGGTCCAACATTAATTCAAAATCACTTTCCCTTGCAAGCTCCATAGTATCTCCCTGATTACTACTCATTTTCTTGCTCTGTATATAACTATGTACAGTTTGTTGCCAAACATTACTTGTCAATTAAGCTCAAAACTAAAGCAACTCCAATCTGATTGTTTTGGTTGCCATGTTTGTGATAAACAAAGCAATTGTTTCAAGAGCAAGCACTATCATCGTTCTTGGGTAGTCTCTCCACACTACTTGTTACTCCTATAACATGACCATGGAACGTGTTCCTAGCATACTTAGGCCACCTTTTGCAACTTTGTTCATCTCTTTCTCTCCTCTCTTTAGCCACTAATGCCTCTGCTTCTCTGGTTGAAATTTCAAGCACCCTACCAACCCAAACTAGTCCCATCTCTCTATACCCTACATTCAATCATCCCACCAACTCAAATCCATCCCGTCTCCGCTTTAGTCACCCCCATACCTCCGAGTCTAGCGATCCTCTCACGTCTCACCAACCCAGACCAACGAAGGTTGAAGGTTTAGAAGGGTTTAGGAAGAAGGTTAGGGAATAGAAAGTTGTCCAATTTCAAGTTACGAGATGATTTTTTTTTTTAACTTTTTATGTTTTATATAAATAATTAGGGCATTTTTTACTACAAAAGTTGGATTTTACAAAAATTACAATATAATAGTCACATGCAATCACATGCGGATAGAATATAATGAGAGTCCACGCTCTGTCAAATGCACTCTCCAATGAGAGACGACCACGTCGGCATATTTAAAAGTTATTAATGTTAACGAAACTTTAAATGTTAAGCAAAAAAATCCGGTCGAACCAGGCATAAAAGGATAAAAAATACTTAAAAAGTTATAAACATTTTAATTACATGGGATTTTTCGGTCTTCCTCCCATTTTCAACTCTCCCCCGCCAAGCCCTAACCTAGAAGTATCCATCGGCACGACGTTCGTGAACGTGAAAGCCACCGGCGGACAACATCAAGGGCTACAACTTTGTTTGCCGTTGGATAGCACGTACTATCTCCGCTGTTGTCGTCTCCGTCAACTATGTCTCTTGCCAGAACATCGTTACCGGGCATTGCATGACGATGGATTCAAAACTTCGGTGTTCCTCAACGCAAGAAATTGTGAGGGGTTTCCGGTTAATGCTGACATTATTACTTCTTTATACTATTATTTTTTTGTTGTTTGTGAATGCTTCTGAAGCTGGCAGTACTTGAACCCCTTTTTCTTTGAAACGAACAACCACATCCCCAAGTTGTTGGTACCTTGATAGAAGACAATCTATCGAAGTTCCAAAAAGAGAACATTTAACTCTCTACGCCTGGTTTATTTCACCAAATCAAGATGGGCATTTTTCTGCAAGTTCTAAATTTTGTAAGCAGCTATAAATTTAAGAGTAAAAAAATCGAAGTTTTACTTTTTTACTTGCAACAAATTTGTATCACAAAGTAATAGAGCTTGGTTTGTGGTGGTGCTGAGGTTCTTCCTTGAACTCCTCAAGGTTAGCAGATCAACATGTTTTTTCTTTTTATTCTAAGGTTAAGGTAAAATATTGTATTAGTTTTCATAAAAAACTATACAGGCATAACTCATGTACGGTGAACAACCATGCATTAAGAATATAAAAGTCATTTTGGAATTTTTACAGTGAGATGAACTCAAATAGCATTCAATATTGGAATTCTAGTAAGAGAATTGCTTTTACAATTTCATTTCTATAGTCCAAATTCCAGGTTTTCAGCTCTCAAAGTGGTGCAGTAAGTCTCATAGAACTACATTAAACAGACAAGGAATTCAGTTTTTCTACTTTAGACAAAGGGCACCAAGGCAACATAGAACTGGATCCAGTTTTGTTTTTGGGGTTTTGATAGGTTGCCTTCGAATAGGGTAGCACCAACTTGGGGATGTGGATGTTTGTTTCAGAGAGGAAGGAGTTTAGGGGTAATGCCGACTTCAAAAATATTAAAAAACAAAAAGAAAAGTTTATAGGGAAGGAGGAGGAGAAGAAAAAGAATTCATCAGAAGAAGATTCGAAGAAGAAAGAAGACAAGCATGCTTATTGCCGGTTGATTTCTTGCCGTCGATGGATTCCCCAATCACGGACGTTGATTTGTGTAGTGAAATCGCCGATGGATTGCTTGCTGTGTTAGGGCTCCGAGGAGAAAATGGGAGTAAGAATGAATTCTCACATCCCAATCCTAAATAATTCAAAAGAATCAATGATTTTAAGTTTTTTTTTGTCTTTTTCTATCCAGTTCAACCAGATTCATTTAACTAACGTTCATACGCGTTAGCATTAGCTTGATTTCGCCCAGAGGACGTGGTCGTCTCTCATTCGAGGGTGCATTCGTCCAATGCACCCATGGGTGGACATAACGTGGACTCATATAATGATGTCATAATGGTAGGGGTAGACTTAGTGTAAAAACAATCCAAAGAATATTTTTAGAATATGTTTGGTTTGAAGGAACAAGTAGGGAAAGACAGGAAAACTTATACAAGGTTTGTAAAGGTTTTCTTATATTTTCCTTTCTTTTCCTACCTTTTCCTTCAAACCGAACATAGCCTTAGGCCCCATTTTTTCTTTAGGAAATGGGGGTGGGGTAGTTGGTCAATGGAAAAGTGATTCCTGTTGACCAATTTTTGCGTGTGTTTTTTTTGGTAAATTCTAGGCTTCATGGTAAAATTAGTTTCCCTTTGCATTACTTAGGTGGATAGTTAACTTTCTTACGTAGGGGATAAGTTTGACTATTCTAACATTGACTTTTATAAATAAAAAATTATTTATATAACTTATCTAAGAATAAAAAAACGAGTAAACAAATTTTCCTGAATAAGTGTTTTTTATGAAATATTTATACTTGAATAAATACACTTTAGCCGGGTAAGTGGACTTTTGAAAAGCGAACAAGGCCTTAAGAGATATCATGGATAGTTTTAATCCATTTCGTACAAATATTGGGTTGTTTGAAGAGTTTTCCCTTCTAACCAACCAAGGGTTAGTTCTTGGTGTGTTAGTTGGTTTGTTCTAGTGTTAACGTGGAATCAAATTTCGCAACCAACACTTTGGGGAAAAAGGGTCAAGGGGAAATTACTAATGGTGCATGGCACCAAATATCAAAAACAAAAAAAAGAAGGGTTTTCCTTTCTTATTTATAATTTTATGTGAAAATTCCATTTTAGTATTTTGAACTTTGGGGGTAATGCCAAGTTAATACCCAAACTTTCAATCGTGTCACTGCAGTACCTAAACTTTTAAAAAGTGTCAAGTTGGTCCCTACCGTTAATCGATCGTCAGTTATCTATTGAAAATATCAAAACTACCCTTCTAAAGAAGACATTGTTCATTGTCTTCTACCTTGAGACGAAATTGATTGAGGTGTTTGAGATTTTATACTAATGAAGTCATTATCTTTTACCTTTAGATCTGAAACATATTTTTGTCTAGTTATTTCTTTGTTTTCCGTTATTGTTTCTTTCTATCATATTTCATGTTTTTTTTTTCTTTGAAGATAACCGATTTAGTCTCAAGGTAGAAGACAATGAATAGTATCTTCTTTTAAAGAGTAATTTTGATATTTTCAACAAATAATTGAGGATGATTAACAGCAGGACCAGCTTAATATTTTTTGAAAATTTAAATACTACAATGACACGTTTAAAAGTTCAATTACTAACTTGACACTACCCCAAAGTTGAAAGTAAAGTGAAATTTTCTCTAATTTTATTCATACAAACGTCTATGCATCACGCATGACGCATGAACGTCGAGAGAGGGCACATAGCATTCGTAAGTACAAATGAGGAAATGGCCAAAATAACCCTAGAGGTTTCTGTGTCCCGCTCGCTCTTTACAGCCAAGCCTGAGAGAGAGAGATGTCCGGTCTGGTCCAGAGTCCTAAAATAGCTAAAAATTTTGAGAGCTGAGCTCCCGCCATGCAACGACAATGCACAGACTTTGTTCAGTGTTCATAACATCCTCGTTATGTATTTAAGGTAGAAGACAATGAATAGTATTTTTTTTAGAGAGTAATTTTGATATTTTCAACAAATAATTGAGGATGATTAACAGCGGGACCAGCTTAATATTTGACATGTTTAAAAGTTCAAATAGTAACTTGACACTACCCCAAAGTTGAGAGTAAAGTGAAAATTTCCCTAATTTTATTCATACAAACGTCTACGCATCACGCATGACGCATGAACATCGAGAGAGGGCACATAGCATTCGTAAGTACGAACGAGGAAATGGCCAAAATAACCCTAGAGGTTTCTATGTCCCGCTCGCTCTTTACAGCCGAGCCCGAGAGAGAGATGTCCGGTCCGGTCCGGAGTCCTAAAATAGCTAAAAATTTTGAGAGCTGAGCTCCCGCCGTGCAACGGCAGTGCACAGACACTGTTCAGTGTTCATAACATCCTCGTTATGTATTTCTAAGGCGCGAGAATTTAACGATATCACAATATTCTCGTGAGTTAAAAACATAACTTAGGAATGAAGAGAGAACTAGAAGAGTTCTTCTAAAGCAACTGTGCAGTTCTCGTTTCGTCTCGTCTCGTATCGTAGAGAGAGAGAGAGAAAAGCAACTATTCGTTAATCGTTACTTCGTTCAAATCAGGCATAGAGAGACTGGGGAGACAACACCCGTTCCGATCCATATGTTCTGCTTCTGCAAATCGAAATAAAAAAAAGAAAAACATCTACTGAGAGGGACTGCCGTCAATGAAACACCTTAGAAACCCTAGAAATGTATATTTTTCATTGGATTTGAATGGAAACCCTAAGAGACTCCGGACCAGCACCTTCCACCAACAATGGCGGTTTTCTGATATCTTGCCGACGTTACGATTTCGCGCTCTCATCTGCTGGAGGCTGACCAGGCCAGTCAGATGATCCTCCCCTGATCAGTCGCCATTAACGGCGTTGGTATCTGTTTCGATTCTAATAGTTTATTTTTTCTTAAATTATTTTTTATATATTTTTGTTTTTGTTTGGAGAGGAGAGGGGGGTGGGAGAAAGAGAGAGAGAAGAGTGATAGGGAGAGTGGGATGGGGATTTCGGAAGGATCGGGTGGGGTTGATTGCAGCGTTGGCACCATCGTTTGGGTTCGTCGGAGGAATGGGTCTTGGTGGCCGGGTAGAATACTCGGCGAGAATGAGCTCTCAGCTTCTCATCTGATGTCTCCCAGATCAGGAACGCCGGTCAAGCTTCTTGGAAGGGAGGATGCCAGTGTGTAAGTTTGTTTCTCCCTATTTGCCCCTTCTCTATTTGTTAGTTTTGGGGATGTTTTCCTTTGTATCATTTCCATATTGATGGCTTACCTTTGCTGAATTGTTATTAACAAGGTTTGAGGTAACTGGTTTTTGTTGGCTAACTGGTTTGAGGTAACTAAACTGCATGCTTGATCATGCTCTGTTAAGCTGAATAGCTGATAGCGAATGCTATGTTGTACTTAACATTCATCAAAAAATAAAATAAAATGCTATGTTGAATTTAACTATCTAAAAGTTTTTTTGTTGTTGTTAATTTTCAAGAAAATTTCTTTTGTATTTCTTAGAGTTGTGTAACGGACTTTAGGGTTACATTTTTTTTGTCTTTGTTATCTTGTGAATGTGAAGTGAGACAGAATATAATGTACCAATGAAATAATATATTTGATTTAAACATGAAGAAACTAGAAAGTGAACTTAACGGATATTCTTAATCAAACTTGCAAGCATTTAACTACTGATGAGTAGGTCTGGCTCTGCATCATTTGGAAAAATGAGCCCTTCCCTCTTACAGAAATCTTGTACTGATCATAGTTTTCAAGGCGCCAAGGCGAAACTAGGCAACAAGGGAGTGCTTAATCGCCTAGGTGCCTACCTAGGCGCTGCTTAATGTTCAGAAAAAAGACAGAACAACAAGGGTCTGAGCCCCTGCTCTTGTCATAGAAATATGAGTAAAAGAAGTGGTGGAGCCCCTGTTATTGTCATAGAAAAAAGAAAGCATGAATAAAAACCTCAGAAATGATGGAGAACAAGGGGTGAAGACCCTGTTTTTTGTTCCATAAGAAGAAGAAAAAGGAGCAGAGACCCTATTTTTTTTTGTTCCAGGGGTGGAGCTGAGCCTCTGTTTTTGCTCCAGAGTAAAAGAGGGGGTGGAGCCCCTGCTTTTGTAAAAAAGAAAAAGAAAAACTAAAAGAAGAGGAACCCCTGCTGACGCCCTAGCAAAACAAGGGACTGTAAGGGAGAATCTTTATTGGGCAGTGCTGTAATGTTTGATGTTTATTGGATCAACCTTTTCTAATAAGGGTTGAATTCTGTATTTCTGTTTAACTTATCTCTAATGAAGTTATCGTTTCTGATAAAAAAAAAAGAAGAGGAACCCCTGTTTTTGCTCCAGAAAAAGAGAAGAAGAAGAATTACAGGCTAGAGGGGGCATCAAAGACTTGAAAGTTTGAATAACTATCCTCATTTCTTCAGTCTTTGAATAGCTATCAAAAAACCCTATCGACATATGAAACTAATAAAAATATATTATTTTATGAAAGAAATAAAAAGAACGATTCAGTGTATCGATCTTATCTTAATATGATAAACTCAAAATATAAAAATATTAGAAAATTGTAAAACTTGAAGAGTTAATATATAAATGCCATGGTGATTGGGCAAGGCAAGCCCCCAAAAGCACCTAGACGTCTAGGTGTTGCCTTGACAACTATGGTACTGATGGATCAGGTATTTGATACCCAAGGTTTTGATGCTAAGCTTTCCTTATTTTGTATGCATCATTTGAGTTTTAGTCTTTTAGAACATTTCCCTTTATCTCTATTTCCTTATAGTTTTGCAACTTATAACTCATATTGCATAAGATTGATGTGTGATGGAAGTTAGAATAAGTGATGCTTACTTCTCCATACATTCCATCACTTAAATTTTCATAAAGAGAATATTAGATTTGACACTTCTTCAGGGGCTAAAATAAGCTTTTGGGAAGATCTTTAGTGGGGCGAAATTTCTTTGATTTCTCAATTTCCACCCATAAAAATTTGCCTGCATCCCATTGTGCTACCATCTCTGACTCTGGGGTCTGTTGGGATCTTGTTTTTAGAAGGGTTATTAGGGACTGTGAGCCCTACTTGCTGTAGATCTATAACCCCAATATCCTTGACCAAAGAGTTTGGGCCCTTCTTCTTCTGGCCTTTTTTGCGTGCTTGCTTTTTGATCTTCTGCCCTCTTTTCATCCTCTCTCAGTAGGGGTGCAACTTTTGTGGGTTAGGGTTAGGATTTTGTCAAAATTTCAATGGGCCCAACCTGAAGCCCGAGCTGGAAACAGTGTAAATTATTAACTTAGGCTAACCTGACTTGCACCCCTATCTCTCAGGGCTTCCAGTAAAAGCCATTTGGAGAGGCGGTCCTATGCCACCCAAAGTAAAAGCATTTTGTTGGGAGGTTTCACTTGAAGATTAACACTTGTGAGGTTTTGCAAAAGAGAAGGCCTAGCAGTTGCTTTTGCTTCATGTGTGTCTCTTTTGTAATGCTACTGGTGAAACTTCCTTTCATTTGCTAGTATCCTGTCCCTACACTTCTAACAATCGGGTGTATGTCTTTCTCTTTTTGGTTGTGGGATGACTCTTTGATGAGACATATTTTTAGGCCTTCAAAATGGCGTGGGAAGATACTTTGGAAGATGTGTTGGGGCAGCAGTAATATGGGTAGTATGGGAAGAGAGAAAAGTGGGGATTTTCAAGGAAGAATACCACAATAAAGAAATTCTAATAGAGGCTGAGAGTGGCATGTTGTGTAAAGACTCTCCCTTGCTTTGACATGTTCTCAATAGAAGATATCATAAGAGGGCGGTCTTGGTCTCATATGGAGGATTAAGAGGCGATCTCATGTAGCAGTTTCCTCAACTGCAAGAAATGCAATCTCTGCATCCCAGGCAGTTCTACCCTTTCCTACAATAAAACTGAATTTTGATGGGAGTAACAGCAAAGCCCAGGGAGGTTGGGCATTTTTAAGTCTTTAAATTGTAACTGCTTAATGTTGGCTTCGTATTAAGGTGGAGTCAGGACCTATTTGACAAGGGAACTCTTTAAAAGCTGAACTTTTTGCTGCCCATCAAGGACTCAAGCTGGGGAAGGCTTTAAATTTCAAGGATCTCATTGTGGAAGGAGATTCCCAATTTTTAGTAAACTGCTTAATAGTGAACAACAGTCCAAGCCTGTGGCAATACAGACGGATGGTGAGGGAAATTCGAAAGATAGCGCAGGAGTGAGCAACATTCCAATGGACAAGAAGGTAAGCTAATGGCATGGCACTGGCAGACATGTTAGCCAAACAAGGAGCAAACGTAGCACAATTGTTCAGGTCTCTGTGGAGCAAAAAATGAGGAATTTGGGACATAATATGCTGTCTATTTGTGGAGGGGTAGCTATGGCTATCTTGGGTATTATGGGGTTTATAGTAATACCCTTTCATCATATTACTTGTATAATAATTAATAAAGCACTGTTTCCAATAAAAATTGAATTGTTGGTTTCTGCTCTAGTTCTTGACTGCAAGTTTGGGGTATTCTCAGTTATACCTTTTTTTTTTTTTAAATAAAACAGAAATTCAAGACTAGGGTCATTTCCTAATAATTAAACTTAGGAAGCTCCTATAGCTTCTAGAATATCAATATCCTTGTGGGTATTGACAGCCCTTCTTGAGGGTATGGACAGCCCTTCTTGAAAAATGCTTAATGGTAGTTCTGCATTTTAAAAGCCATGCCTAAGTGCATAGGTGAGGCTCATTTTTCTTCATTGCCTGAACCCTGAGGGTGGGCCTTGGCACAATGGTTGGGTTGCTCCAGTGTGACCAGGCTTCAAATCTTTAAAGCAGTGTCTCTGTGTATCTGCAGGGTTAAGACTTCATATATCTGTCCCTAACCAGACCTCGCATTGGTGGGAGCCTCGTGCACTAGGCTTCTCTTTTTTATTCTTTGCCTGAATCCAAGTGCTGCTTCTTATTGCTATGGTTTGATGAACTAACCTTGAATTTAATGTTGGAATAATTGACTTATTACATTGTTGATTTTAGCTCTGATGTTTTCAACTTAAACAGTTCAGCCTATGTAGGACCTGAACCTACTATGAGTATGATACAACCTTCAGGTTAATAACATGACACTCTAACCAATTGAGCCAATTGGCTTTTTGAGACATTTTGTTTCTTTTAAAATTTATAAATACATGTACAATGTTGATCATCATGCTACTTATCCTGTCAAAACCTGACTCAGTTTCCCTTACCACTTATCCTACTTACCATAAAGTTATGTTGTCACTTTGGTTTTATTCGTCTTTCATCATTTGTTGTTTTATTTCGTGATTAACATTTCAGCAATTTCACTCAATTCACTCAGCTTGATTGTTGGCCTCATCTTTCCAGGGATTGGTACAATTTAGAGAAATCCAAGCGTGTAAAGGCATTTCGCTGTGGGGAGTTTGATGATTGTATTGAAAGGGCTGAATCCGCACAGGGCATTCCTATAAAAAAAAGAGAAAAGTATGCACGCCGAGAAGATGCCATTCTTCATGCCCTTGAACTTGAGAAGCAGCTGTTGGAGAAGAGACAGCAGAAATTAGGTGTTGCTTCTCCAATCAGAAAAATACCCGGTGCTCCAAAAAAAGAGGCTGCAGAAAACTTGGGAAGTGATCATGCAAAACCTGGAGTTCTCAAAATACAGGATGAGAGCATAGGCCACCCTTCTTTTGTGCAAAAGGTCAGGCAGGGGAAACAACCAAACTGGGAAGATGATAATTCTGAAGCCATCCCTCGCATGAGAGGGTTGCAGGACTTTGGGCTCAGAATTGTCCCATCAAAGAGAAAGCATTCAATTTCTGAGGGTCCTTGTAAAATTACTTCAGTCAATCATCAGGATAATGGTCTTCCTAGTAGTAGTCATAGTATGGGGGGTTTTAATTATATCAGTAACATTAAGAATTCTTTGGCCATTAAAAGGAAAAGGTCCCAAGGAGGCCTGACTGAAGAATCCATTGTAAAGAGACGTGATAGACGCCGGCCTCTTGTTCAAGTATTACAGAGTAGTGTAAAATTACAAGTGCCTCATGCTTTACAGTCTGATGGTACTACTGGTCCTGTTTCTGTGCAAGGAGAAAAGGAGCAGACAGGACTTACTTGTGGGGCAAAGAGGAGCAGGTATGTTTATGTGCCAGGTGACTCAAATGAATGTTTTGATCATATAGATTTTATCCCAGACCAGATACATACATCACCCACCCTGTTTGGAATGGATAACTGCCAAATACACCCTGGTTCCTTGACAGAAGAAAATGATTCTTTAGGGTCGATGGATGATGATGATGATGATGATGATGAGTGGGATTATCTGAATCCAGGCATGGATGATGGGACTACTGTTCTTGCAGGTTAAATTTTAACTTTTCTTGATGCATTTCTTGTTACTTGAGGTTTTTTTTTTTTTTTTTTGATAAGTTTACTCAAGATTTGTCTTTACTTTGAATTGGTTGATAGTTTCCTTGGGCTCTGGACTACATATGTGCTACGGACATGTGGGGTAGAGCCTTGTTACGCTAGGTTTTTTCCTTCTTGTCTGTATCAACAAAAAAAAAAAAAGAAAAGAATTGTGCTTCTCACCTATAGTGGGATTCTAAGTTATATTTTATTGTTCATGTTAAAGTTTTCTTTATTTGGAATGCTATAATTCATTCACTCCTTTAACCCTTTAACATCTAGTTCTGAGTGATATTCAACTATATTCATTTACAAAATAGATTTCTGTTGGATATTCACTTGGGGGCTATTTTCTTTTTCCAATGTTATACTGCTATTCATTTCTCAATGCCTTGTTTTTGCTAACATTGTTCAAAATAGCCAGTGACCTCATTTTTCCGTTCCTTGCAAGGTACTGCATGAAGGACACTAATTCATGTGAAACCCATCCCCGGAATCTCTTTGGAAGTTCATTGTCCTTGGAAAAACTTAACTGCTAATCCCTTTTTCCTCTTCTGATGTGCCAATTATCTGAAAGATACTATACATGCAACATAATATTGATGCTTTTAGCCCTATGCTTCAAATTTTTTGATCAGTACTGAAGTTTTTAGTAATAAAACATAAACAGAATATATACACAAAAATGTGACAAGTAATTTGGCTCTCTGATATTGAGACTTTGAAGAGAAATTAATTATATCATTGTCTTCATCAGCCATTATCCCTAGAATGCAAATATCAGGTAAAGACTTACAAGATGAAAGACTTAACTGGAAAATACCTGATTCACCATAGATATGCAGACATGAGAGGCAAACTGATTCACTGGAAACAACTTGCTAAATTTTATTTTTTCCAGATTTTGCAACGTAGTATTTACCTGTGATGTGAAGATGAAAAGCTTGGACTAGGGATTGTTGGTGAAAACAGTATATGGTACAGTTCTAGGTTGTTTCTTATGAAGGTCCAAGCAAAACCATCCTATGGTTGGTTGGTTGGAATCGTCATACTAAATGCTTTTGATTGTTACTTATCAAAAAAGGAAAAAAACAAAGAAAAGGCTGAAGGAAGCATTATAGTAAAATGTGAAAATGAACCCCAATCCTTTCAGGCTGGAGCATTGCTGGTTAGACTCAGTGGATTTGGTGGCAAATGTTAAAAGGTGGTGGTCTGAATGTTCAGCCAGCCATATCTTCTTCAAAAAACTAAGGCCTTGTTTGGATAGACTTTTATAAAGTACTAAAGTACAAAAGTACAAAAAGCACTACATACTGTTTGGATGGCATAATTTCTTCTTATACTTTCATACTTTTTAAAAACATAAAAACCCCCAAAAACACAAAATCAACTTTTATTACTCATGTGAGACCTCCAATTCGACAAAACCCCTCGACCGAAGACTCCCCATTTGCTTGTTGCCTTCAAGCCCTAGACCTTCTTGCTGCCGTCGGTTCTTGCTCTGCTGTCACCTATCTCTGACCACCAAACCCACTGGGAATCACTATCGGAAGCACAATCTGTTGGCGATACTACTACTTCATCGGAATCACATGTATGGGTTCCGGCATAGTTGTCAAGGCGCCTGGGCAAGCCTAGGTGACCACATAGCACTCAGTCGCCTAGGCGATGGAATTTGAAAGTATAAAATATATACCCCTTCTACAAGTCATTCTGCTCTATGATAAAGATTCCGATTAATAAGGTTTTGGAATGGAAGCTCCAAACATGAAACTGGAGAAGCACTGCAGAATATCCAAAGTGTTTAGCTTCCCATGATGGCGGTGGAGGAAAGTTTTAGGCTGGCGGGGAGGTGGAGAAAGGAACTGAGCATTGAAACGAAGAGATTCATATTCGAGCAGGGACGAGCAAGGGGTAAAGAGTACCTGAAAGTCAGGGAAGGTAGTAGGGCTACGATCCTTTTACCAAAGGAAGCCTGTTTCTGGCTGAAAGGCTTCGTAGATGGAACAGTTAACTCCATCAAGGCAGAAGGGTGGAAAAATTCTTTCGGCTACTCTGGAAAAAGATACGAAGCGGTTCTGAAGAGGAACGGGAGAGGCTGGTTTTTCACAGTTCCACAACACTTTAGCATTAATAAAAAGCAGATGATTTGCGTGCCTGAAGGTCTGAGGAAACAAGGGTGGSCCTCCTTTGCTGGTAGTCTTTAATCTTTCCTCTTGAAAGTTGAGAGTGAGGTAGCAGAAGAATCACCGAAGGGAAGTAACTCCTCCTCCCAGTGG